CAAAGGAAACTACTACAATTATATGCCAACAAACTGGATAACCTAGAAGAAATGGATTTATTCCTAGAAACATACAACCTACCAAGACTGATTCAGAAAGAAATAGAAACTGAACATTCCAATAATGAATAAGAAGAATGAATCAGTAATAAAAAGCCTCCCAACACAGAAAAGCCCGGTACCAGATGGCTTCACTGGTGAATTCTATCAAGCATTTAAAGAAAAATTAATGCCAATTCATCTCAAACTCTTCCAAAAAACTGAAGAGGAGGGAATACTTCTAAACTCATTTTATGAGGTCAGCATTACTCTGATACCAAAGACAGATAAAGATACTATAAGAAAACTAAACCAATATTTTTGATGAATACAGGTGCAAAAATTATAAAAAAAATAGCAAATCAAATTCAACAACACATCAAAACAATCATACACTACGACCAAATGGGATTTATCCCTGAGATGCAAGAATAGCTCAGAATACACACATCAATACAGGTGATATATCATATTAAGAGAATGAAAGATACTTATGATCATCTCAATAGACGCAGAAAAAAAATTGACAAAATACAGCATCACGTCATGACAAAAACCCTCAACAAATTGAATATTGAAGGAAGTTACGTCAACACAATAAAGGCCATATATGTCAGACCAATAGCTCGACATCATACTCAATGGTGAAACATTGAAGGCTTTTCCTCTAAGATCAGGAGCAAGACAAGGGTGCCCACTCTCCCCACTGTTATTCACAAAGTATTAGAAATCTTAGCTAGAGCAATCAGGTAAGACAAAGAAGTAAAAGGCATCCATATTGGAAAGGAAGTAAAACTGCCATTATTTACAGATTATATATTATATATAGAAAATCTTAAAGATCCAACAAAAAACTGTTAAACTAATCAATGAATTCAGTAGAGTTGCAGGATATAAAATCAACATACAGAAATCAGTTGCTTGTATATAATAACAACAAAATATTTTCAAAAAGTAATAAAACTATCCCAATCACAATATCATCAAAAATATTAAAATGTTTAGGAATAAATTTAACTAAGGAAGTGAAAGATCTGTGTGACAAAAACGATATGACTTTGATAAAAGAAATTGAAGGAAATACACACAAATGGAAATACATCCTGTGTTCATGAATCAAAAGAATTAATATTGTTAAAATGTTCATACTACCCAAAGCCATCTATAGATTCAATGCAATCTCTATCAAAATTCCAAAGGCATTTTTCACAGAAATGGAAAAAACAATCCTAAAATGTGTATGGAACCACAAAAAGACCCCAAAGAGCCAAAGCAATCCTGAGAAAGAAGAACAAAATCAGAGGTCTTACACTTCCTGATCCTGAACTATACTATAAAGGTATAGTAATTGAAACAGTATGGCACTGGCATTATAAGATACACGAATCAATGGAACAAAATAGAGAGCCCATTAATAACCCTGCATATACAGCCAACTAAGATTTGTCAAGGGAGTCAAGATTGCTCAAAGGGGAAACAATGGTCTTTTCAACAAATGGTGTTGGGAAAACTGGATAACCACAAGTAAAAAATTGAAATTGGATCCCTATAAACAGTACTCAAAAAATTAACTTGAAATGGATTAAATACTTAAATGTAAGACTTGAAATCAATAAACACCTATAAGAAAATATAGGGAAGAAAGTTCTTGACACTGGTCTTTGCAATGATATTTAGGATTGACACCAAAAGCACAAACAAAAAAAATAAAAATCAACAAGTTGGACTACATCAAACTAAAAAGCTTCTGCACAGGAAAAGAAACAATCAACAAAATAAAAAGGCAACCTATAGAATGGGAGAAAATATTTACAAACCATGTATTGGATAAGGGGTTAATATCCAAAATATATAAAGAATTCATATATCTCAACAACAACAACAACAACAAAAACCCAATCTGATTGAAAAATGGGCAGAGGAACTCAACAGAATTTTTCCAAAGAAGACATATACAAATGGCCAACAGGTACATGAAAAGATGCTCAACATCACTAATCATCAGAAACATGCAAATAAAAACCACAATGAAATATCAACCTCATACCTGTTGAATGGTTGTCATTAAGAAGACAAGAGATAAGTGTTGGCAAGCACATGAGGAAAAGGGAACCATTATGCACTGCTGGTAGGAATGTAAATTGGTTCAATCACTATGAAAAACAATATGGAGGTTCCTCAAAAAATTAAAAATACAACTACCATATGATCTAGCAATTCTATTTCTGGGTATATATCCAAAGGGAATGAAAGCAGGATATTGAAAGGGCAGCTGTACATCCATTTTTATTGCACCATTATTCACAACAGCCAAGATATGGAAATAAGCTAAGCGTTTGTCCATGGATGAATGGATAAAGAAGATGTGGTGTATACACATAATGGATTATTACTGAGCCATGAGAAAGATGGAAATCCTGCTGTCTGCAACAACATGGATGGATCTTGAGGGCACCATGCTTAGTGAGATAAGCCAGACAAAGAAAGACAAATATTGTATGATATTATTAAGATGTGGAATCTAAAAATGTGAAACTTGTAGAACCAGAGTAGAATGGTGGTTACCAGGGGCTAGAGGTGGAAGAATAGGGGAGACGTAGAGAAAGGGTGCAAACTTGGAACTAGAAGATTAATAAGCTCTGGACATCTAGTGCACAGCACACTGATTATAGTCAACATTACTGTAGTATATACTTCAAAACTGCTAAAGCAGTTTTATATAACTCCATTTATATGAAATGCCCAGAACAGGCAAATCTATACAGACAGAAAGGAGAGTAATTGTTCTTAGGTCTGGAGGCTGAGGGGAAAAGAGGAGTGACTGTAAATGGGTACCAGATTTGTTTTGGGGATAGTGAAAATGTTCTAAAATTGTGGTGATGGTCACACAATCTGTGGATATAGTAAAAACATTGGGTTATATAGTTTAAATGAGTGAACTGTATGGTATGTGGATTATATCACAATAAAGCTGTTAAAAATGAATGGGAGATAATTAGAAATGTCTTTGCTACATTTTTAATTTGCTGTTTCTGTAATTCTAAAAATAAGTCATTTTAAAGGAGTTGATTAAAAAGGTTCATTTTCTGAGGACTTTATGCATTTGCAATAGAAAATATTGTAGCAATTGGCTATTTCCACTTTTGGGCAAAATACATATACTTAGTGATAAAAAAAAGAGAGAAAAGAAGTATTAGTTCTTTAATAGGTTCTGTAGTCTACATCTAGACATATAATTAAAACTAAAATCAATGAAAGAAAATCACCTCAAATAACCAAGAGATATACATATTAAGAAATGCAAAAATGTTTCTGTCTTTTGATTATTAATCTCATTCCTGAAAATTAATCTCAATAAGAAAAACATAATAGGCATAAAAACATTTATAACAGTACTGTTACGGTAACACAAACCTCTAAATCAGTGCTACCTAAGAGTGCTTGCTACTGCTCAACTAAGTCTTCAAGTACACTGTTCAGTCCAATTGACATTTTCATAGCAAGATGTTCTCAATGAAGGACACATAGCACTGACTTACATTCTGGAGCAAGATCCTTATCTGGCTGTAAAACAGCATTGAGCAATATTGCTCTAAAGAACCAAAATGTCCATAATAAGAACATAATTGGCAACCCTGTGATATAACTCAAAGAAATATTATTTGAGCATAAAGCAGACTAATAATAGGTAACAATCATTCAGCTCTTACTATGTGCCAGGCACTGTATAAAGTGTTTTATATACATTACTTCTTTTATCCCGGTAACCTTAAGTTCTAGTATCTCCTTTTTGCAGATTAAGAAATAAAGGTCACAGAGGTTAGAGGACTGATCAAGGCCCAACAGCAGGTAGGACGTGAAATCAAGAGTCAAACTCAGGCAAGTATGACTCCAAATCCTGATCACTGTATTATACTGCCTCCAGAAAACTAAAGGATGATTTTAACCATATATATATGTGAATAAAAAACAGAAAGAAAATGGAGATGAATCTTTAGGATGGTGAGACAAAAAGTAAATTTTTAAAAATGCCTTTTCATTATTTGCAGCTGTCCTAATAAAAATACAAAAGTAATTCAAATAGTAAATTCAAAATTATAAGGAAATGAACATTTATGAAATGACAATGTCTGAATCAAATATCATAAAGCAATTATATACTCATTTTTGTTCAATTTTATAAAAGAATTTGTTGTCTGCAAGACATTCTTCTTAGAAGACACATTTAAGAGTGGTACTAAAACTTGAGTATGCATTGGAATCCTCTGAAGGGCTTGTGAAAACAGATTGCTGGGATCTACTTCAAGAGTTTCTGATTCAACAGGCTTGGGGTGGGGCCTGAAAGTCTGCATTTATAACGAGTTTCCAGGGGATGCTGATGCTGCCGGCCCAGGGACTATACTATGAGAACCTGTGCTTTTAAAAAATTAGCATCATCCTAAATCTAAATACCATTGGTATAATCAATTAAAAATAAACTTGATGAATTTCTTGAATTACTTTAATGTGCTAAGTAGGTTCTTGACAAAGCACAGGCCGATGGAATTTATGTCATAGTTCATACTCTTAAAGAATACAACAGTCTTTTGGTCCAATTCTTTATCTCAGTCAAGAGCTACAAACTTTTTAAGGAAGTCAAATATTTATACTTTATCTATACTGATAATATCAGTTATCTGGGTACTTTCAGTCAAAACTGACTAAATTATTTTAAATTGCTGAACTGTTTAAGGGTCTCGGAAATTAGTCTTGCTAAGCAAACTAACTTAGAATGAAAAACAGTCATAAGTGCTAAAACCATTTATACAGCAGGCAGTATTATAGATAAGTAATATCCATATCTCAGCTTCCAATAGTAAGAATAAGTGCTGTATCAGCCTCTCTAGAATAATTTGATCCTCAATTAAGTAATGTATTATAATTTTTGCCTGCATGCATGCAGACTATGCCATAAAACATACCTATGTTTCTGACCATGATTCCTTTCAGTTCATCCACTTGGGCTTGAGTCTCCATCACTCTATCTAGGCCCTTATTCTCGGAGTGATGCTTCTATAAAAAAAAATACGATTTAACTTATGATACCCAGACATTATCTACAATATGAAAACAAAAAGAGGAATGCCACTGAGGAATGCCATAAAATTGTCTCTATTGACACAAAAGATAGATGTCACTTCATTCAAAAATTGTTACCAGACCTAGGGAAAAATATAGGCAAGCATAAAAATTGCTACCATATGAAATGTGTTTTAGTAAAAAAAAAAATCACCTTATTTTAAATAAAGCTAAAAATATGCCAAATATACATCTGAGATTCTTGGGGCAGAAGGAGGGAGTTATATAATCTGTGCTCAGACAAGGAAGAAAGGAGAATAGACTGTAGTTGGGGCAGGTGGAACAGGGCAGGGAAACAGCATTCTAAATTGTTCCATATTTCTTGGATATGATAAGGCAGGTGTTGGCCCAGCTTCTGAGCACCTGTTCTATCTGTTAGGATCAGAGTATATGTCCTATTTTCACTGGCTTCTTATAGGATCTAGAAGTGTAAGGCACTGATGATAGTATATATTTTGGAAGTATCATCCATAGCAAACAATTATGGACTGCTTAATACACAATATTCTAGTCACTTCACTGTGCTAAATGCTTCAAATAGGGGTATTCTTTAATCCATGCAAAAATTCTATGATGAAGATGCTATCGTTATTATCTCTATTTATAGGTAAGGATCCTGGCACAGATTTGTTAGGAGGTTCACACAAAGATCTGGCACTAAAGACAAACTAGCTAAGTTGAAAGTTTTGCTGCCAGCTGAGCCTATTTATCTTTTTTCCCTTGTGATGAGAATTCTTAGGATTTACTCTCTTAACAACTTTCATATATAACTGAAAGCATTGTTAATTATATTTATCATATAGTACATTACATGCTTAGTTCTTATTTATCTTATAATTGTAAGATGGACTGCCTTCATCTAATTTCCCCTCTGCACATTCCCTGCCTCTGGTAACCTCAAATCTGCTCTCTTTTTCTATGAGTTTGCTTTTGAAGTATAATTGACCTACAACACTATGTGAGGTCCTGTTACACAACATAGTGATTTGATATATCTATACATTTAAAAATGATAACAATGAAAAGTTTAGTTAGGTCAAAATAGGTATTACATAGTTATGACTATATTCCCCACATTATACATTTCAAAACTGTGACTCATTTATATTGCAACTAGAAGAATGTATCTTTAATTTCCTTCATCTGTTTCTTTCCTCCCCCACCCCATCCCCTCTAGCAATCACCTATTTGTTCTCTGTATCTATAACTCTGTTAACGTTTTCTTGTATTTGTTCAATTGTTTTGTTTTTTAGATTCCACATATAAGTGAAATCACACAGTAATTATCTTTTTCTGTCTTGACTTATTTCACTTAACATGATACCCTCTAGATCCATCAATGTTGCTGCAAATGACAAGATTTCACTCTTTTTGGCTGAGTAATATTCCACATATACATGCATGTTTGTGTGTGTGTGTATCTTTATCCATTCATCTATTGATGGGCATTTAGGTTCCTTCCATGTCTTGGCTATTGTAAATAATGCTGCAATGAACATTGCAGTGCATGTATCTTTTCTAATTAGAGATTTCATTTCCTTTGGATAAATACTCAGAAGTGGAATTGCTGGATTATATGGTAGTTCTGTTTTTAATTTCTGGAGGAATCTCCATACTGTCTTCCACAGTGGCTACACCAATTTACATTCCTATCAACACTGCACGAGGGTTTCCTTTCTTCCACATCCTTGCCAACACTTGTTATTTGTTGTCTTTTTGATAACACCCATTCTGACAAGTGTGAGGTGATACCTTACTGTGGTTTTCATTTGCATTTCCCTGATGATCAATGATGTTGAGCATCTTTTCATGTGCCTGTTGGCTAGTTGTATGTCTTCTTTGGAAAGATGTCTATTCAGGTCCTCTGTTCACTTTTTAGTCAGTTTGGTTTTTTAATGTTGAAGTTGTTATCACTTATTTGTACATTTTGGATATTAACCCTTTATCAGCTATATTATTTGCCAATATCTTCTCCCATTTAGTAGGCGACCTTTTCGTTTTGTTGATAGTTTCCTTTGCTGTGCAAAAGCTTTTCAGCTTGATGTAGTCCTATTCATTTTTGCTTTTGTTTCCATTGCCTGAGAAGACAGATCCAAAAAAATATTACTAAGACAGGTGTCAAAGTGCATACTGCCTATGTTTCCTTTTAGAAGTTTCATGGTTTCAAGTCTTATTTTTCAATTCATTTCGAATTTATTTTTGTACATGCTGTGAGAAAGTAGTCTAGTTTGAATCTTTTGCATGTAGTTGTCCAAGTATCCCAACACCATTTACTGAAGAGATTACCTTTTCCCCATTGGATATTCTTGCCTCCTTTGTCACAGATTAATTGACCATATGTGCCTGGGTTCATTTCTAGGCTCTCTATCCTGTTCCATGGATCTGCGTGTCTGTTTTTGTGATAGTACCATACTGTTTTGACTGTTGTAGCTTTGTCATATAGTTTGAAACCAGGGCATGTGATACCTCCAGCTTTGTTTTTCTTTCTCCAATTTGTTTTGGGTATTCTGGGTCTTCTGTATCTCCATACAAATTTTAGAATTATTTGTTCTAGTTCTGTAAAAAGATGTTATTGGTATTGTGATAGGGATTGCATTGAATCTGTAGACAGCCTTGGGTAGTATGGTCATTTTAACAATATTAGTTCTTCCAATCCATGAACATGGCTTATCTTTCCATCTGTTTGTGCCATATTCAATTTCTTTCATCAGTGTCTTATACCTCCTTAGTTTGATATATTCCTAAATATTTTATTCTTTTTGATAAATGGGACTGTACTCTTAATTTCTCTTTTTGATAGTTTGTTGTTAGTGTATAGAAATATAACATATTTCTGCATATAAATTTTGTGTTCTGCAAATTTACTGAATTTGTTTACCAGTTCTGAAAGTTTTTGGTGGTATCTTTAGGATGTTCTATATATAATATCATGTCATCGGTAAAGAGTGATAATTTTACTTCTTCCTTTTGAATTTGGATTCCTTTTCTTTCTTTTCCTTGTCTGACTGCTGTGACTAGGACTTCCAATACTATGCTGAATAAGTGGTGACAATGGGCATCCTTGTCTTGTTCTTGATCTTGGAGGGAATGCTTTCCGCTTTTCACCACTGAGTATGACATTAACTGTGGGCTTGTCATACATGGCCTTTATTATGTTGGGGTATGTTCCCTTTATTTTCATTCTGTTGAGTTTTTTTTTTATCAAAAATGGATATTGAATTCTGTCAAAAGCTTTTTTTTGCATCTACTGAAATGTAGTTTTTATTCTTCAATTTGTTAACATGGAGTATCACATTGATTTGCAGATACTGAACCATCTCTAGAATAAATCCCACTTGATAATGGTGTATAATCCTTTTAAATCTATTATTGAATTTGGTTTGTGAATATTTTGTTGAGGATTTCTGAATCTATGTTCATCAGTGATACTGGCCTGTAATTTTCTTTTTTGTGATATATCTTTGGTTTTGGTGTCAGGAAGATGTAGATATCATGGAATGAATTTGGAAGTGTTCCTTCCTCTGCAATTTTTTTTGAATAGTTTCAGAAGGATGGGTGTTAATTCTTCTCTAAATGTTTGGTGGAATTCACCTGTGAAGCCATCTGGTCCTGGATTTTTGTTTGTTGGGAGTTTTTCAATTACTGACTCAATTTCATTACTGGTAATTGGTCTGTTCATATTTTCTATTTCTTACTGGTTCAGTCTTGGGAGATTGAACATTTCTAGGAATTTGTCCATTTCTTCTAGGCTGCCCATTTTATTGGCATATGGTTGTTCATAGTAGTTTCTTATGATCCTCTGTATTTCTGTGGTATCTTTTGTAATTTCTCCTTTTTCATTTTTGATTTTAGTTATTTGAGCCTGCTCTCATTTTTTCCTGATGCCTAAAGGTTTATCAGCTTTATTTATATTTACAAAGAGCTAGCTCTTCGTTTCATTGATCTTTTCTATTGTTTCCTTAGTCTCTATTTCACTTATTTCTGTTCTGATCTTTATGATTTCTTTCCTTCTACTAACTTTGGGTTCAGTTTGTTGTTCTTTTCCTAGCTCCTTTAGGTAAAATCTTAGGTTGTTTCCTTGAGACTTTTGTTTCCTGAGATGCTTGTATTGCTATAAACATTCCACTTAGAATGGCTTTTGCTGCATCCCATAAATTTTGAATTATTTCCTATTCCCTTGTCTCTAGATGTTTTTTGATTTCCTCTGACTTCTTCAGTGATTCATTGGTTCTTTAGTAGCATATTGCTTAGCCTCCACGTGTTTGTGTTTTTTTGCAATTTTTTTCTTATAGTTGATTTCTAGTCTCATAGCATTGTGGTCAGAAAAGATGCTTGATATGATTTCAAGTTTCTTAAACTTGCTGAGGCTTATTTTGTTGCCTAGCATGTGATATACCTTGGCGAATGCTCCAGGTGCACTTGAAAATAATGTGTATTCTGCTGCTTTTGAATGGAATGTTCTATATATATATCTATTAAGTCCATTTGGAAATGTGTCATTTAGGCCAATCTTTCTTCATTGATTTTACATCTAGATGATATGTCCATTGAGGTAAGTGGAGTGTTAAAGTCCCCTACTATTATTGTGTTGCTATCAATTTCTCACTTTATGTTACTATTTGCTTTATGTACATAGGTGCTCCTATGTTGGGTACATATATACTTACAATTGTTATATCTGCTTCTTGGATTGATTCCTTTATCACTAACTCATGTCCTTGTCTCTTGTTACATTCTTTGCTTTAAAGTCTTTTTTGTCTGCTATAAGTATTGCTACCCTGGCTGTCCTCTGATTTCCAATTGCATGGAATACCTTTTCAGCTATTCTGACTTTTGATTGAAACATTTAGTTCATTTACATTTAATTATTGATAGGTATGTACCTATTGCCATTTTGTTAAATGTTTTCCAATTTTTTTGTACTTCTTTTGCTCTCTTCCCTTGTGATGTGATGAGTATCTTTAGTGCTAATGTTTGAATTTCTTACCTTTTTTGTGTGTATGTATGTAATATAGATTTTTGGTTTGTGGTTACCATAAGATTTATATGTAGCAATCTATATATACACATGTGATTATTTTAAGTTGCTGGTCTCTTGAGTTCAAATGCATTTTAACAAATCTGTATTTTTACTGCTCCTCCCATGCTTACTATTTTGATGTATTTTATATCTTTTTGTTTTGTGTATCCCTTAAGTATCTTTTATTGTGGATATAGGTGATTTTACTTCTTTTTCTTTTAACCTTCCTACTGTCTCTATACGTTTATTTACTACCTTTACTGTATATTTGTCTTTACCAGTGATATTTTTCCTTTCATAATTTCCATATTTCTTGTGCCCTTTTCTTTTTTGCTTGGAGAACTCCCTTTAATACTTCTTGTAAAGGTGGTTTCATGGTGCTGAACTCTTTTAGTTTTTGATAGTAAAACTTTCAACCTCTCCATCAAATCTGAATGAAAGCTTTTCCTGGTATTGGTGGTTGTCGGTTTTTCCCTTTTATCACTTTAAATACATAGTGCCACTCCCTTCTGGCTTGTAGGTTACTGATAATAACTCAGTTGATAGCCTTATGGGAATTCCCTAGTATATAACTTTTTACTTTTCCCTAGTTGCTTTTAATATACCCTCTTTAATTTTTGCCATTTAAATTTATGTGTCTTGGTGTGGTCCTCTTTGGGTTGATCCTGTTTGGGACTCTGTGTGCTTCCCTTACCTGGGCGCTTTTTTCTTTTCCCTAATTAGGGAAGTTTTTAGCTATTACGTTTTCAAATTTGTTCTCTGCCCCTTTCTTTCTCTCTTCCCCTGGGATCCCTATCATGTGAATGTTAGTAATGCTTAATGTTGTCAAAGAGGTCTCTTAAATTGTTCTCATTTCTTTTTATTCTTTTTCTTTTTTTTTCCCATTCAGTTTCAGTGATTTCCACTACTCTGTCTTCCAGCTTGCTGATCCATTCCTCTGTATCACCCAATCCATTGCTGATTCCTTCTAGTGTATTTTTTATTTCAACTATTTTATTCTTTATCTCCGTTTGGTTGTCTTTATACTTTCTAACTCTGTTAAAAATTCTAACTTCTCACTTTGCTCATCCAATCACCTCCCAGGTTCTTTGATCCCTTTACCATCTTTACTACCCTGAACTCTTTATTGGGTAGATTGTTTATCTCCACCTCATGTAGTTCATCTGGGATTTTATCTTGTTCCTTTGTTTGGAACATGTTCCTCTGTCTTTTCATTTTGCCTTATTTAGAGTTTTTATTTCTATGTATTTGTTAAGTTGGTTACATTTTCCAACCTTGATGAAGTAGCCTTTTCTAAGAGACATCCTAAGTGCCCCAGCAGCACACTTCCCTCTGGTAACCAGAGCTATATGCTCTAGGGGTACCTCCTACATAGGCTGTGGCTGGCTGATTACTGTGAACAGGCCGGTAGGCAGGGCTGGCCCCTGGTCTGCTTGGTTGCCAGACCCTGCCTTGTGTGCAGGCTGCCATATGCTGGTGGGTAGGGTTGGGTCACAAGGCAGCTGTCTATAGAGACCCATGGGGTCCTCTGGCTGCAGAGCCTTTGGGATTTCAGAGTTGGTGTTGGCCCACTGGTGGGTAGAACTGTCTTCTGACATGGCTGGCTATGGAGTCTGGGGTGTCCTGAAGCTGGTGTTGGCCCACTGGTCCCAGGGCAGATCCCAGGGCAGGTGGCTGAGGGGCCCATGGTATCCCAGAGCTGGGGTTGGCCTGCTAGTAGGCAGGGTCAGTGTCTAGGGGGTCATAGGGCTGATGTTTGCCCACTGGTGGTTAAGACCCACTGGTTTACAGAGCCAGGTCAGGGGATCTCTGGATGGAGGGCTTGGGTATCTGAAGCTGGCTGTGGCCTGCTGTTCTGTGGAGCTGAGGCCCAGAAGATGCAGCTACTGCTGGCTCATGGTGGGCAGGAGTCCCAGGGTCTCTAGCTGCAGGGCCGTGGGGGTGCCAAATTTGGTATGTTGGCCTGCTGATGAGTGGGGCCGGGGCCCAGGGGGGTCCTGGGGCTGGTGTCTGCCCACTGGTGGGAAAAGCTGGGTTCCAGTGTTTCTGGCTGCAGGCACACTGGTGTGTGGGACCAGGTCCTGGGTCCTCTGGTAGGAAGGGCCAGGACTTAGGATGGCTTTTGGTTCTAGGGCTCTTAAGGCAGCCAGCCTGCTAGTGGGTGGGGCTCTGCACCTGCCCAGCCAAGTTGCATGGCTTAAGGCATCCCAGTACTGGTGCAGACAGGTTGGTGGGTGGGGACAGGTACTGGCACTAATATGCTAGAGGGAAGATTCCAAAATGGTGCTTGCCAGTACCAGTGTCCTCATGGTCGAACGAGCTTCCAAAAATGGCCATCACCAGTGTCTATGTCCCTAGGGTGAGCTGCAGTGGCCTCCTGCCTCTCAGGAAGGCTCTCCAAGATCAGAAATTTAAATATTTAAAGAATTTCATCCCCACAGGATGCATGTTTAGAAGTGTGGTACTCAGAAAGTGTATTAAGAAGAACACTTATAGAAGTGAAAGTATTCAATTACAGTAAGTCTTATTTTCCTCATTCACAACACCATCACAGATAAAACTCATATCCTTGCACACAACTAGTTTCAAGATAAAAGGTAAGCATTTTTTAAAGATCTCAATATCATTAGTCATCAGGGAAATGCAAATTAAAACCACAATTAGATATCATTGCACACCCACTAAGATGAGTAAAATTAAAAAGACAGACTGTAACAACTGTTGGTAAGGATACAGAAACACTGAAACTGCTAGTGAGAATATAAATGGTACAACCACTTTGAAAAAAAATTTGATGATTCATTATAAAATTAAACATCATTCATCATATGACCCATCAGTTCCATTCCTAAGTATTTACCAAAGAGAAATAAAAATACATGTCTGCACGAAGACTTGTTTATGGATGTTCATAACAGTTTTGTTTATGATAGATGAAACTGGAAGCAATTCAAATATCCAGAAACAGGTGAACGGGTAAACAAATTAAGATATATACATACAATACTACTCAGCAAAAAAGGAAACTAATGATTTACACAATATAGATATGTATCAAAAACCTCATACTGTGCAAACAAGGAAGACACAAAAGAGTATGTAATGTATGATTTCATTTATAGGAAATTCTAGAAGAGACAAAACTAATTTATGGTGACAGAAAATAGAGCAGTGATTGTTTCAGGCAGAGTGTGGGGGAGAGAACTGACTGCAAAGGGACATAAGGAATCTTTACGGTCATGGAGATGTTTTATACCTTGAAAAGGTGGTATTTCACTGGTGTATACATATGTAAAACTTCACTGAGCTGACAAATATTCATACAGATGAACAGACTTTCAAATGACTAATTTGAGCTGTTCAAAAATTAAATTTGCCTCGTGGGAGGGTAGCAGGTTAATGTATAGGTTAAGAAGCCATTTGGTAAGTTGAATGGATTTATGCATTAAATGGGTAGTTGAAGTAGATGATCTTTAATGTCCTTCCCAACCGTGAGATACTCTCAGCATCATTGTTAGAGAATATCACCAATTATTAGCTTTCCATCCTAAAATGGCCCCTTCATATAGTTTTTATTGGGGAAGTTTTATTGTGCTGGCATATAATAACATAATCAGAAAAATATATTGCAGGTCAGGGTCCCCTAAATTTATGGTGCTTTAAAGTAATAGAGAAGATATGAATCAAATAATATATCCTGGGAAAGATCTTACCAGCTGTGCAGCCAAGACACTTGAGAACTCACTATTCATGGCATATGGGAGTGCTGTCTGTGCTCTTGAACCATACGTAGTCTGGAACCTCTTCTTTATCTCATTCAGAAAATTAAAGGCTCGAGAACGTTCAAAATCCTGAAAGGAGACCAACACAGAGCTCACATTAGAATGCAAACAAAGATGATATGGATAATTAACAACAATCATAAGAACAGCTAACATTTACTGAGCAATGATTCTATGAGAAGGAACTGACCTCATGTTACAAATACGGAAGTAGAGGTTCTAAAAAGGTAACTAACTTGCCAAAGGTGAAACAATTAGTACATGAAAGAGCTGAGAGTCGAATCCAAATATGTTTGATTACTGCCAACTAACATAACAGTACCTAGGTTAGCTTCTTGAAAGCACGAATTGGGTTTTACTCCATCCATATCTTTCACAGGATCTATTAGAAAGCCCAGCACAAGAAGATGCTTAATAAATCCATTGTAATAGTACAGTCTTTCACATGCAAAGATAATACTATTGACATAAACTCTGAATTGATTTTTTTCAATAGTGGTGGTCCATTTGAAGAGATCAAGGGATGTACTCAGTCAAAAAGCATGTGTGTATGTGTATAATATGTATAATATGTATGATTTAATCATAGCTCAAGACATGTAAGACTCAAATCTGATCACCCCAAATTTAGTGATATTTCTCACCTACTCCAAGTCCTTTCACATCAGTCATTTCAGATATAGCTGAATTTTAAAAATAATTTTAGAAAATACTGTGAAAATCAAGGAATAAAAATCATTGTGATAATCATTGTGGTTGATACTCATCTCCATTTCACTCAAGATGATCAGTCTAAGCCAAAGGTTCTTGAACTAGGGTCAATGGTTCCAATTCAAGGGGCCCATGTACTTGGACAGAAAAAAAAAACTGATCACTATTTTCATCAATCTTTAACTTACAATTTCAATTGTGAATACAGTAACAAACTAGACTAGTATTAAACAGTATCTGTGACTTTGTCACCAAGTGAAGTCTTTTTTCATCCACCATCAGTCTCAGAATCTCTCAAAATATTTATACTCATCACCACTTCAAGATTATTTTTAATTATTAGATCCATGACTAGATCTTGTTATTTAATGAATTAATAAAGAAGCAAATACATTACTATACCAATATTTAAAATATTTTGAATACTGTAGTTCAATATAATTGGCTTTGTTCATAATCATATGTTTTATTTCACACATTTAAAAAAATTCTAGGAGGGGCTGATGAGTTGTTAGGAGTCTGTTAGACAATAAAGGTTAAGAACCCTGACCTATGGCAATCATGCCAATTCCATGCCTCTCGTCAGTGATCAATTTAGAAATAAGCACACAGCCTAGTCCTAGCTAATATGGCATGAAAGGAAGTCCACTCTGAAAACAGGGGGAGGGGAAGGTGTACTTCTAGGAAGTTTCCTCATTCCTACAATAAGAAACTTGAGAAGACATAATCCTTCTTCTTTGGACATGAATAAATAAGCATGTGGCTCCACACAACCATAAGGGGAATGTGTCCAGGAAGAAGCCAACATGAGGACTGTAGAGGAGAGAAAGGACCCTGATGACATTGTTAAGTTATTGACCATTTTGCATCTAATACTTATAAATACTAAAAAACAACCTACGAACGTGAACTATGGGTTTACAAAACTGATCATAATCTATTGTGATTTTGTATTCCCAAAGTCAGTATACATTAAAAAAATTCACTATTGATTGGAGGAGTGAAATAATCTATATAATAATTAAGATAAATAAATTTTGAGAGGATCTGATACCAAAGGATCATAATTATGAACATCAAGTCTCACTACACAATAGAATAAATGTAGAAGTTTCAAGAGGTTAAGCTAAAACTCTGCAAAACCAAGATGATTTGCATATACTCAGATATCACCTTTTCTTGTGATTTGCTGGTCTATATGATAAATGCAAAGTATAGAAAAAGATATCCAGCTACAAATAGTTATATTCACATCACATTTACCCACCATAGGTACAGATAATTAACAACTGATTCTATTAATATTACACATAGTTAAATAGCAGCATGTCTTCAAGTTACTTACATCATCAGTGATACAAAGATATACAATCCTGTCTTGGCAGATGTAATGAAACAAATAACTGTAGAATAAAAGATATAAAACTTACTGTGGTTATGAGCAATATCTCTTTCATGTCTATCTTTTATCTAGGTATACGAAAATTTAATACTGCCAATGTTACCAGATTATTTACAGATACTGTCTATTCTCCCTCTCCCCTGTTTCTTTCAAGTCAAACCGACAGAAATAAATAAGAAATTAAAAGAAGATCTCTAGCCTAGCTATGTAGTGTAATGTTATGTACATTACCCATTAAAATGATATCTGAAAAAGCATAATTGGACTCTAAAGGTTTAAACAAGAGATGACATTTGAGGGACAGGTAATTAAGATTAATCCCCAAATGGGCCATACAGTCTTCCTTGTCTTCTCCTAAGATCTCAAATAAAACACTCTTTCTATCAAATACATAACAATAATATTTATTTGGTATCACTTTGAGCCAATTACTGGGCTGGATGCTGAGGATACAAATAAGCAAAACCATCAGTCACTGCCTTCACAGAGATCAAAGTGCAGGGAATTATGGAAAAGCATAGTAAGTAGGATGATTAAAGGCAGTACATGGTGCTTTGGGGACATACAGGAGACATCTAACAGAGTTTGGCAAGGGGTAACAGGGAAGACATCCTAGAGCAAGTGATATCTGAGGTGAGACCTGAAGAATGAGTAAGAGATGACAACGTAAAGAGCAAGTGAAGAGTGTTCTAAGACCAACAAGCTTAAGGGCTTAGAGATAAAAGAGCACATAACGAGTTTAAAAACTAAAATTAGTTCACTCAACTAGAGTATAGAATGTAAGGAAAAAAGAAGTTGCTTGCACAAATGAGGTAGTAAGTAAGTAACCAAGTATCAGGCTGTATAAGACTTTAAAACCTCATTACACATTATCCTAAGAACAATGAACAAGATCTTGTGGTACTTCACAGTGAAAAAAAATGTGACAATGAATATATGTATGTTCATGTATAAGTGAAAAATTGTGCTCTACACTGGAATTTGACACAACATTGTAAAATGACTATAACTCAATAAAAAATGTTAAAAAAAATAAAAATACCTAAAAAAAACAATGAACAAACATCAAAGGGTTTTAGCGTGGGGAGAGTATGATCAGATTTGCCATATACCGGGATGTTTTGGCTAGACTGTGGAGAACTGACTGAAAGGAGGACCAGACAGGAAACTACTGAAGCAGAACAAGTAAGAAACAATAAGGGAAACAAATTAAGTGTTATGAGCAATGAAGAAAAAGGGATGGAGAAGATACAGGAGAATAGAACATGACTGGCTATTGTGAGTGAGGCAAAAAGATCAACTCAATTTTGCTTCCCAGATTTCTCCCTTGGGCAAGTAGACAGACGGGTACCTGTTGAATTTTATTATTAATGTTTACAAACAGGCTTGATATGAATTACAAGGAAGTATGGAAACTCAGGCAAAATGTCTTTCTCCACATAGCTAAGTACTGCTGGAGAATAAAACTGAGGGCTCAAGTAATAAGAGATGAGGCCACAGAAGGGAGCAGGGGCAGATCTTGAAGAATCTTCCAAGTCATGTTAAGGAACTTTACCTTGAGGGCAAGGGGTATTGCTGAAGGAAAGGACATGATCAGAACTGCCTTTTTAGAAGGATTAAAGTGATAATTAAGAAAGTATTTCATTTGGGATCTGTAAAATGAGCAAAAATTTACCAGGGAGCCTAGGAGGGGAAGGACGTTCCAAGATGTAAAAGCATAAAAAAATACCAAAGTTTGAAATAACATAGATAGGTCAGGGAGTGACAAGGATTTCTACAGAGATAAGGACAGAAAGGTCAGGAATAGAAAAAATTGTGAAGGCCAAGTTTGGGCTTTATTCTAAAAGCAATGGGTTTTAAGCAAGAAAGTATAATCATTGGAATGTGAAATACAGATTTAAGGAGAGAACAACTAGAAGCAGAAAAACCAGTTAGGAGGAAGTTATTAGAAATGAGAACAGTGAAGGTCTGAACTAACACTATGACAAGTGAAGATAGAGGAGACTGAAATACTTCTTGTAGGAGAATAACAAGGATTTGGCAAAGAAGTCAAATATGATTCTGAAGTTTTAGGGTTATCCAACTGAATGACTGGTGATGGTATTACAGAAGAAAGAAACAGCAAGAGGAAGGTCAGATTTGGGAGTGGGGGGATGACTGTCATACAGTAAAATGGGACTTTTTTCTTTTGGTGTACAGTAATAAAACATATTTTTGATTGGGATGATGGAACATGATTACAGAAAATAAACCAAGGCAGGTTAAAAAGAAAAAAACAACAACTCAGTGATAGAGACTTACTCCAAAGGATACCAGGTAGGGCTGCATCAGGATGTGGGTGGAAAGACATGGCAGCTGGATAATGTCGCTTTCTTGCTCTATAACCACATTTTTATTGCATTACATATTCTAGCTTCCCTTGTAGGGAAGTGTGACTAAGTTCTGACTGATAAAATGTGAGTGGAAGGTATATGCCCTACTTCCAAGTCTTGCCTCTAAAAGGGTTACATGTGCTTTCCCTGAGCATTTTCCTGGGAACTGACTGGAGACACAACAATCGTAAGCCCAGTTAAGTTTTTGAAAAAACCCTAAAACCATACTCACAAGAAATTAAGGTCATTTAACCCCAAGGCATCTTCTCAGCCCCTAAACTATACCATGAAGTAGCAGAGTAAAAAATCTGTATAGTTCCCAAAGATGACACACTTTCTGACACCCATTTTGGATTTGGTCACAGAGGATAATGCACCAGGAAGAGCCTCCTGGAGAATAAACTCAGGGAGAAAAGATGAGGAATTTCCTCCAATAAAGCATAACCATTAGCCACTCCCAGGTCAGAACAGGAGTTCCTGAAATCGCTGTGGAGTGGTTATTTGAATATTACTAGAAAGCAGTGACTTCTAAGTGTTTCTTATTCTTCCCTTTTCTAAATTGGAGTTTATGAGTTCCACTTGGTGATGTTCTTATTCGACCACTGTCTATTGGGTTGGGCTGATGAAACTGGGAGACCATATGACTTGTCTTTTAGTATATGGTCAGTGGGCCACAGGGGCCACCCCTGGGCATGATGGAGAGGACTGTGTATCACCCAGACTTTGGGCTTTGGAGCTGGACACAGTGACCAGATGAGTCTTTGGGGCCACCTCCTGCAGATAGGAGATGTGTTCTATGTTTTAGAAGAAGAGTACACACAAATATTTTGGTGTCCCAGAAGAGGAGACTGGAAGACTGCAAGTTGTCTCCTGATACCCTACAACTTTTTCCAGAGTAACAGAGTTTTAGCTGAGCATATCTAGCACAACTAGAAATGACAAATCCTAGCCTAAGTTCAGGCTAGGTTACCTACATGACTATGCAGTGAACAATACAATGTCAGGCCACTTTTGGGCTTTGCTTTTAAAATTACTGGGGCACTTTAAAAGCACAGGGAGGTGACAAGAACCGAAGGAGCTGCCTTGGCCAAAGCTGGTATGCACTAATTGAAAATGGCAGAGCCACCCCACCAGCCCCAAAGTACTACTCTCTGGACTATCTCATTTAAATTAACACTGTATTTTGGGTTCTCTCTCTTACAGTAGTTTAGACTGGATCCTAAGTTATATAAGGAGTTAACCCCGGAAAGCAATACAAACCTCCTTCTGAGAGAAGGTCTAAGGAAATTAGGATGAATTAGGTAACAGAGTTTTTTTTTTTAAGAATTGAGGAGGAAGGTCGAGGCATTTTTTATATGATTACTAAGATTTCCCACCTATGCCCTCTCCAATTCATTCTACAACCAGCCACAAGAGTGATCTTTCTAAAGCAAAACCGTACCATGTCACACCCCAGCTGAAAACCTTCAACGCCACCCCACTGGCCATAGGGTAAAGTACAATCCCTTAACATAGCCTATGAGGCCTTACATGGCTTCTCTTCTGTCCCTCTCTCTAGCTTTGTTTTCACCACGATGGGCATTAGTCACAGAGAACCACCTGCAGTTTGCTAAATATGCCCTATGATCTCATACCTCCATACTTTTCTACTAGCTATTCCTTCTACCTGGAATACCATCTCCTTATCCACTACCTTCCACCCTCTATTGTTATTACCTATGGATTTGATTGTCTCCCTCATTAAACTACATTTTCTATGAGAGCAAATACTGAGTAATTTCCTGTATCCCCAGCACCAAGCAAAGTGCCTGGCAATAGGTCCTCAGTAAATATTAATGAAAGAATAAACAAAAATAATTATTTATCTTATCTGTGTCAAGTTTCACATATACTAGAGATTTACAGCAAAGTCACTTTTACATATAACATTTCCATATCTTTCTTTAAAATATTAGTATACTTTGATGACAGAATAAAATAATTTCTAGTTAAACTTATAATTAATAGAACCAGACATTTTCTAAGTTGGTAAAGATTACTGTTCTGCCAGCTTATTCAAATTATCTACTGAGAAGCTTGCTTTCTAGTTTTCTACTGTTCTGATTATAATAATATAATTTACTTCTTTCACCCTCTACCCATACAGAGCAGAACTCACTTGCCATGTGAGTACGTTAATTTGTTATTTTCAGAAGGTATCTTAGCCAGAATCTGCTCTGTCACCTCCAGGAAGTTTCCTCCACACCAAGCATGTTTGGCAAGGATAGTGGTCCCCCTGGCAACAACAGCAAAAAGAATGGCCATGGCTTCAATCTATCAAAAAGAAAAAAGACACATAAGATTTAGAATATTTCTTTGACATAATCTTTCAAAAGTAACTTACTTTCATTTACCAACAACCACCTGCAAAGAGTATTGATCAAGGCACTGTAACAGTAAACATAACAGACTTAACAAGGTCACAGTCTTGTATACACTTATCACCTAAACCACATTGATATGCATTCATATATAGAGACACACCAAATATATACATATATATTTTTATATATGTGTATATACATACAATGTAATATATACATGATACGTACACACATTACATTGATAGGTTGTATTTATAAATTGTACAGCACAAACTGCTATCACCCTCTGAAAAACAATGACCATAGATGGAAAAATCATACAAAAATGAATATGTGTGTGTGTGTATACATATTTTTAGCAACTAAGTATATATATATATATATATATATATATATATATATATATATATACACACACATACACATAACTGGGACATTATGCTGTACACCAGAAACTGACACATTATAACTGACTATACTTCAATTTAAAAAAAATGACCATAGATGACAAAGGGATATAAAGATGTCTTCATTCTTTAATGGAGCAATCTCATCCTGAAAGTTTATACTAGGGAAATAATTCAAAAGAAGTTACATTCTAGATTCACAAATATACCTATTAACCATAATAATAGCCCATATTTATTAAGTACTTACTATGTCCCAGGCACCATTTTTAAGCACTTTACAATTATTAACTCATTTAATCCTTACATCAGTGAAATTACACACCATCATAATATTTACATTAAAATGGGGAAACTGAAGTATAGATAACTTAAATAATTTTCCCAGAATTACATAGCTATTAAGTTGTAAGACTTGAGACTTAAACCCAGGAAGAGTGGTTCTGGAACCCACAATTTTATCTCTATACTGTATAATGCCTCTACTATGAAGGCATTATTCACAAAAGACACAAAGTGAAAATAAATCAAATCTTCCACAAGAGAGGAATGCTTCTGTAAATTAGCATAAGATCCTTTATAAATAAAACATTTCTAAAACAATACAGCATGAGATTAAGATTACAGTAATATCTCAGAAATATTGCAGGTTCAGTTCCAGACCACCACAATAAAGCAAATATCACAATTAAGTGAGTCACATGAATTATTTTGGTTTCACAGTGCATATAATACTTATGTCTGTGCTGTACAGTAGTCTACTAAGTGTGTAATAGCATTATGTCTAAAAAACATTGTAGATGCCTTAATCAAAAAATAGTTATGGGGGGAGGGTACGGCTCACTGGTAGAATATGTGCAGACCATGTGTGAGGTCCTGGGTTCAATCCCCAGTACCTCCATTAAACAGACAAATAAAAAAACCTAATTATCTCCCCCTCAAAAGAAAATAAAAGAAATAATTTAAAAAATACTTAGTTGCTAAAAAATGCTAACCATCATCTGAGCCTTCAGCAAGTTGTAGCAGTAACATCAGAGATCACTGATCACAGATCACCATAAGAAATATAATAATGAAAATGTTTGAAGTATTGTGAGAATTATTAAAATGTGACACAGAGACATGAAGTGAGCAAATACTGTTGGAAAAATTCCCATGGCTGAGGCAGGGCCAAGGGCAGCTCCAAAGTGTTATCTTGTGAGCCCCTACAATGAATGACAGGCAACACCATAGAGGGAGCTTCGTGGTAGACATTGCCTGTGGAGGAATACTCAGTGGCTCTTCTCCTAGTGAAAGTGCTCCGGTCCCACCTACCTCACACTACAGCTCAGAAGTGGATCTAGGGGCTTCTACTCCAAAAACTAGGAGTCAGACCTGGCCCCCAAGAGGGCTATGACAACCACAGAGCAAAGAAGAGACCCCACACAATATTCAGTGTAGACTCTGGTTGCCATAACATCAATCACACCCCCTATCAAGGGGATAACAGCCAGCACACATGGAGGAAAGATGTAGCAGCCATCCATACTAAAAGCAGCCCTCAAAACAAAAATATTAGAAGTACTCAGGTTACACAGTGACAATACAATATAAAAACAGCCCTGCAAGGTCACAGTAGATAACTGTTACTCTTAAATTCATAGTCAGAGAAATATAAGCAGAATGAAGCAGGGGAACCACTCCCAATTAAGAGAACAAGAGAAATCCTGTGAAATAACAAGCAATGAAATAGACCTCTCTAGTGTACCAAATCTTGAGTTCAAAAGGAGATAATAAAATACCAAAGGAATTAAGAAAAGCTATTGATAGAAATGCAGATGACTATAAAAAGGAACCAAAAACTATAAAGAGGAACCAATTAAAATCAAAGCTCATTTACCAAAATGAAAGTAGAACTAAAGGCAATAAACAGCAGACTAAATAACGCAGAAGAACAAATAAGTGATCTAGAAGATAGAATAATGGAAATCACGCAAATAGAACAGCAGATAAAAAAAATGAAAAAAATGAAAGCAGTATAAGAGAACTGTGGGATAACATAAAGCCTGCCAATCCACACATAATAGGGGTCACAGAAGGAAAATAAAGAGAAAAGGAGACCAAAAACGTTTTTGAAGAACTTACAGCTGAAAATTTCCCAAATCTAAAGAAGGAAACAGCTATCCAAGTACAGGAAGCACAGAGGTTCCCAAACAAGATGAATTCAAACAGACCTGAACCAAGATATATTATAGTTAAAACGGTAAAAGTTAAAGATTAAAGAGAAGATTTTAAAGGCAGCAAGAGGAAAACAAAGAGTTAGTTACAAGGGAGCCCCCATAAGGCTATCAGTTGATTTTTCTACAGAAACGTTGCAGGCCAAAAGGGAGGGGCAAGATCTCTTCAAAGTCTTGAGATGAAAAACCTGCAACCTAGGATACTCTAACAAGCAAGACTGTCATTCAGGAGAGATGAAGAATTTCTCAGACAGCGCCAGTCACTGAGCCACTGCTGAGGATCAGCAGCCTCCCCCTTGAGCCCCCTCACTTCCTGACGTTTCGTCCTCCCACCCACCTTCTCCTGCTGCTGCCTTCTGTAGGCCATTTCCACTGAGGAAAAGGAATCGTGTTGTATGTCCGCTATCCAGAATCTCCACTCTTTAGACCCCTTTGCTGATGCAGGTAAGGGTGATGATCTGCTTCCTGCTGGCACTGAGGATTATATCCACATAAGAATTCAACAAAGAAATGGCAGGAAAACCCTTACCACTGTCCAAGGGATCACTGATGATTATGATAAAAAGAAACTAGTGAAGGCGTTTGAGAAGAAATTTGCCTGTAATGGTACTGTAATTGAGCATCCAGAATATGGAGAAGTGATTCAGCTACAAGGTGACCAGCACAAGAACATATGCCAGTTCCTCGTAAAGACTGGACTGGCTAAAGACGACCAGCTGAAGGTTCATGGGTTTTAAGTGCTTCTGGCTCACTGAAGCTTAAGTATTTCCTTGCAATGAGTAGAATTTCCCTTCTGTCCCTTGTCACAAGTTTAAAAACCTCAAAGTTTACATAATGTAACTATTCGGGGTCTGCTTTTAACTTGGACTAGTGTAACTCCTTCATGCAATAAACTGAAAAGAGACATGCTGTCTAGTCTTGAAGTCCCTCATTTAAACAGAGGTCAAGTAGCAGGTGCCTGACAGTGTATAGCCTGAAACAAAGCAAAAACATTATCTTTCAGCCAAGTCCAGAGCCCCAAGATCACAGATGGCTATGTCTGGTCACAAGCTGCTCAGCAGTCCCTTCACAGAGTTCCCTGCCCTAAGAGAATGTCACCACCTGAACAGCCCTCAGTGAAGCTGAGAGAAGAGGGTAGGGTAAGGCAGCAATGGCAGCTGTACTGTTAGATGGAGCCTTTGGTTGTCAGGGAAAGATCCCCTGGCGTCTCCAGCATGACCAGCTGAGAAGACTTAGAGCAGCCTCCTAACCTCTAGTGAGGTGACAGGATGTGTGGCTTGCCACCAAGGTCTTTTTGAACAGACATATCCTAGCTAATTGATGTCCAAACTAGAATATGAGGCCCACCTTCTATCAGAGTTAAACTTTTGACAAGGGAACAAATTTCAAAGGGATGTATCAGTCACGTAGCTGTAGAGCTTGCAATTTACTAGCAACGGCTGCCCAATGCCATGTGAAGTAACAAACGGGTTTTGGGGGGTTTTTTCTTCAGTTTTAATATTATGTAATGTATTTAAACACTTATTTAAATAAAACTTGTTTTCAGAAAAAAAGGATTTCTCAAACAAGCAAAAATTAAAAGAATACAGCAATACTAAACCTATCCTAAAAGAACAATTGAAAGATCTTCTCTATTTAGAAGAGAAGCTATAGAAAAGAGAAAATCACAATTGGAAATGCAATAACTACAATGAACAGCAAAAGAATAAACATGAAGATGTAAAAAAGGACATTGAAATAATAAAATGTAGGAGAACAGAGCAAGAAAATGTAGATTCCCCCCCCCCTTTTTTTAAAGAGTGTGTTTGAGCCTATATCTACCAGACTAAAGCAAGCAGATGTAGTAATGGGTTAACATAATTCAAAAATGGGGTAACCACAAATCAAAAACAGAGTCACAAAAACCAAAAAGAACATATGCATAATACAAAAGAAAATCATCAAATCACAGAAGGAAAATCAAAAGAAAAAAAAGGAACATAGAAGAAATACAAAATCAACCGGAAAACAAGGTTTAAAATGGCAACAAATACATATCTATCAATAATTACCTTAAATGTCAATGGACTAATACTCCAGTCTAAAGACATAGAGTGGCAGGTTAGATAATAAAACAAAAGCCCACAATATGCTGCCTAAAAGAGATCCACTTTAGGGCAAAGGACACACATAGATTGAAAGTGAGTGGATGGAAAAAGATATTTCATGCAAACGGAAACGACAAGAAAGTGGGAGTGGCAATACTCATATCAGACAAAACAGACTTCAAAACAAAGACCATAAAGATGAAGAAGGATGCTATATAATGATAAAAGGAGCAGTACAAG